AATAATTTTAAAAATGTGAACATTTAATAAATCAACATTACATATTCTAGTTAACAGGAGAACTCTCACCTGTTTCCTGCGCAACTTCTGCTCCGAAAGCGCGTTTTCGGAGGAACTACATGCTCCGTTGGAGCTTCATCGATATGATCGGACATATTATTTACAACTCGATGAATTCCTGACGGTAAACGTATGCAAAGAGGTTGATTCGAAGCTGCTAAACAAAAATTGACTGCAACAAGTCAAATCAAATCTTTTTCATAGCACGTACCAACAGCTTTACTACGCCCATCATTATCATAATCCGACTTCTGTCTCTCCATAATCTCTAACAGTTCTGCTCGTAACCGTACGACTTGTGGTTTTCCACAACTTTTAGAGAGAGAGTCCGCAATTTGATTTATAACTTTATCGGGCCATAAACAATCTTTCCATTGAAGAACAAATTTAGCCGACTAGAAAACACACTGGTAGCAGAGGACAGAAAAACAAGGAAAGCATAAAAATGTGAACTGATGAACACCAACCTGAATAGCGAGAGACTTGGCGAGCAACTTTTTGACGACCATTTCACGGTCGCAAAGAGTGTACTTGCGCGGTATCGGCAAATTTCGAAATATGACAAAAACATCTGCCGCACATACACAAAAACACTGTATCTCTGCAAAAGATAGATGTTGGAAAATCTTGGAGGGAGTAAATGACATCTAACAAAACTACCTTCCCCCAAATCGTTGACTAAAATGATCTTTGACTGCTCAACGTCAAAGACAACCAACCGTGATCCGGAAGACGACAAAATAAACGAAGCTCTAAAGTGAAATATTCACACTGGGTGAGATGCTGAGGATTGATCAACGTACCCATCAACATCAAGTCGGTGCAAAACGCTAAGCTGTACATCTTCATTAGAGGTTGCGACATAGTTGACAGGAGTCATGTCACAGCAGTAGTCAGCCCGCGAAGAGATGATTGGAGGGCGTGGTATCGCAGTGTTTTCACGTAATTGGTGTGTCCTGTTTGAAATAAGATAGATTGTTT